TTTTTTATTGGTGTACGGTTTAAAATTTGATTTAATCTCACCATGTTTATTTGTACATAGGTTTAGTAGATATAAACCTTTTTTCTATCTTCATTATTTGGATTTATACAAGTTCAGATCTGCACATGCATGTACATATACACTCAAAAACAGTGTTATCCTATCTCGAAGTCCACCGTCAATTTCAGCTTTTGTAATTTACAACAAATTACCAGCAGGCCTCGAGAATCACCCACCCGGGGTGTTGAGAATGTGAGAATAACCCGCCACTGTCGGCAGTATTGGGTCATATATCGGTCTTGTACATCCGGGCACCGAGTTGGGCTCCGGGTGCTGTCAACACCTAGATCAATTCAGCAGCCACCGCATGCAGTTCCTAGATTAAAACTCATTCACACTTTCACTCATTTTTAAATATTTTCTTTCCTATTTACATACTATTCACTCAGTTAGGGTGGTGGAGTACTCGATATTCCATCGTCAACCTTTGCATATTCACGCTAATAAATACATTCACTTTCAACGCACGCTTAGTACACAAAATTATCAGCCCTATATGAGTGTCCCAGTTCCTTCTGACGAAACTGAGGGAATCGATTCTACTCTTCGTTTGGAGCAAAAAATGCTCAGGAGAAAATTTTCGGAAAGTTCTGTATTTTGAAGATATTCGTCAATTTAGGTTTTTTCAACTTTTCACTACCTTACCGCATAAAAACGCTTACAACTTCGAAAATGTTGAGACTACAACAAATCCAATTACACAATTTGAAAGAACGCTAAATTTACTGCAAGATACTTCTTTGCAATAATCTGAATGACATAAAATGTTAGCCAATATCAGTTGGAACATGGCAAAATTACAAAATTTTTAAATTTTGGTCATGATTGCACTTTCTACTGAGGTTACAAAAAATACCATACAACTTGTCAAATTTTACAAAAACTTCTTCATCTAATATGCTTTACGTTGATATATCCAGGTTTTTAAATAACGTTCTAGTAGAGTTGAAAAATAACAATTGTATGTTCGAAAACGTGAGCTAAGGTAACTTTGAAGTGAGGGGGTAGAAATAAATCAATTAGAACTCGCTTTGTAAAATAAAAATGTCACATCTTTAATCTCACAAAAACCATACCAGAAAGCTGGTTATAGCCATTTAAAAATCTGGATATATCAACATAAAGCATATTAGATGAAGAAGTTTTTGTAAAATTTGATAAGTTGTAGGTATTTTTTTGTAACCTCAGTAGAAAGTGCAATCATGACCAAAATTTAAAAATTTTGTAATTTTGCCATGCTCCAACTGATATTGGCTAACATTTTATGTCATTCAGATTATTGCAAAGAAGTATCTTGTAGTAAATTTAGCGTTCTTTCAAATTGTGTAATTGGATTTGTTGTAGTCTCAACATTTTCGAAGTTGTAAGCGTTTTTATGCGGTAAGGTAGTGAAAAGTTGAAAAAACCTAAATTGACGAATATCTTCAAAATACAGAACTTTCCGTAAATTTTCTCCTGAGCATTTTTTGCTCCAAACGAAGAGTAGAATCGATTCCCTGAGTTTCGTCAGAAGGAACTGGGACACCCTGTACAATAAAACAACTCTGTGTACTCCAAAAATCGGAATAGGGGGCCGTGATCAAGCACAATGATCATATCGGATGGCATTCCAACACGCTCTCTATATTGAGCCAACGAGTTGCACCTTACAATTAGGTGGGGCACATCGAGCAACCATTCTGCCGTAGAAATAAGCGATCCTTAATTGGGTGAGGATGACACTCTTTCTAAGAGTCAGATCTTCCGAGGGCCACCTATGAACAATGTTCTTGATACATGAGAGTCCTTTCCCGAACCAGCCCACGTCACCCTCACGACTTTATAAAAGAGACTTGACGTTACAGAAATTACCCATATTTAAGACTGAAGAGGCAAAATTCGGAAACGTCTCAGACCAAACTGAGCATAGGCCCATGTTTTAAATCTCAACTCTGTGTTTATAAAATATCTGACAACAAAAATATATGCAGATATGACATTCAGTATTAAAAATATCAACCACTTTTTCATTTCAGAATACTCTGGATCAAGGTATGGTCTTGAAGAAGAAAGCAAATTTAGTTGCTAATGCCAAGCTTTCGATCTATTTTAAGGTCATCATCAGGGCAAAACAACCTTAAATATGTCTACGGATTGACATATTTAAGTTTTATCGATCTTAAATTTCCTTGAAGACCGACTCAGTCCCAACATTGCCAAGGACTCTAACCTACATAACCTCGGTGTTTTTCCTGATGATGACCTTAAAATAGGTCGAAAGCTTGGCAGTAGCAACTAAATTTGCTTTCTACTTCTTCAAGACCATACCTTGATCCAGAGGTATATAAGATATAAATGATAGAAGGAAAAAATAATAAATTAAAGAAATAAAAATTAATTAAAAATCTAGTTTCTCTCTGAAAACATTTCAGTTAATTCTGGTGTACAGAGGTGATACAATTAAAAGCAAAAAAATTTATCATTTTTTATATATTAAAATCATAGATCAGACCTTTTTTGGAAATCCATGCTGTTCTTGTGTACTCCACCAGCAAGCCCCAATTGGATCTTCTGTATTTGACGAGGATAGAACAAATTGCAATGAAGTCCTCGCTTTCTTTTTAGCTTTGTTTCTTAGTGTCCTCTCTAGCTTTTATGCTGCAGAGAAAACTATCTTCCAGCTCTGAAACCTTGTTTAAAATTCAGAATCATTAGGCCCCCTTTGCTTAACTAACTTACGTTTAAATTCTCCTTGCTTTTACCCAAGAAACTTGCACACTTCACATTTGGGTTGAGTTAAGGCAAATCCTTTTTTCGGGAATAATTCTCGTACTAAAAAATGACTTACTGACGTTTTCGAGGACGTATAAAAATCCAAATCGAACAGAAATATCTTGACATATTTAAATTATAAAGCATAAAAGTACTTTAGGCGAAATGTTACATTGTACCTTATAAAAAAAATAGTTTTCTGGCGATAATATTTAAATATTTCGATTAATCTTTAATCAGTTGTCAATTTTTAAAGCAATAAAAAATCTGTTGTTCACTTTTGCCTTCAACGTACAGAATCATCCGGCGTGTCCATTTCCTTGCCATGGAAACTTTGAACAGAATATTACCTTGCCAGAAGGACAATTATCATAAATTTTATACTCCAACATATTGTAAATTTTTATGGATAAACTGTACCGTACTGAAAGTTTTTTTTTTTTAATTTAGAAAGATAGAGAAGAAATATTTTTATGGTATATATGCTGTTAGTACATAAATTCTACTTAATAGTACATTCAAGTGAGCAACATAACAAAGGATTTTTCAAATTTTACTTTCTTTTCTCACATTGGATTAAAATATAAATGACAAATCATTCCGCATGGAACAATGAACGCCCATTTGAAAAGTTACTGGAATGTCTTCATTCCGATCCATCAAGCGGGGAAAGGCCGTTAGTAATGCCCAACGGCTGAATTAGTAGATATCAATTTGGATTTTGTAACAATTTCACTCGACTGCTAATTAGACCTTGACGACAAAACGGCAGGCGGAAGTTGCCACAGATGTAATGCAACACTTCCAATCACAACCCGTTCGTGTATTGACCAATTAGCGGATTCTTTCCCGAAGAAATGCAACGTGCAATATCATATCGCTTCTAATTTTCAAATCCGTATTGCGTAACAACGTACACTTAAATATCCATTGCATACGTGAAAACTATTGCCCAACAGAATAAAAAATCTGCACTTCAGAAAAGAAGAAAAGAAACTTTATTAACTTAACTTAACTTAGAAACTTTTTTTGAAAGAAAATTTATTACCCACAGCACTTTCCGCCATAAATCACAAAGAACCCCTCTCGACTTGTTTTATTGTTTCGACATTTTGGGCCACACACGCACATCCCTCTTTGAGATATGTAAATGATTGTTTGTAATCCATTATATTTAGTGGTCTATTGACCAAATTACTTCTTTCAATTCAAAAGGTGGGTTGAGGTGGGAAGTTAGTGTCCGAGTGGATCGAAGTCACGATAGCTCAAGTGGTAGAGTAGCGGCGTATCTAGCTGAAGGTCGTGGGTTCGAATCCCGCTCGAGACACTGACTTTTTTATCTCAACTAAAAACCTTAATTAATTGAAAGACATTAATTGGTCAAGCGGACAACGAAAACTAGTGAATTACTTCTTTCAGTTGATTAATCTTTTTATGTAAGGTTTTGATCGAAATGAAAAAGTTAGTGTCTCGAACGGGATTCGAACCCACGACCTTTGGCTAAATACGCCGCATTTGGTGTCCGAGAGGATCGAAGTCACGATAGCTCAAGTGGTAGAGTAGCGGCGTATCTAGCCGAAGGTCGTGGGTTCGAATCCCGCTCGAGACACTGACTTTTTTATCTCAACTGAAAACCTTAATTAATTGAAAGACATTAATTGGTCAAGCGGCCAACGAAAACTAGTGAATTACTTCTTTCAGTTGATTAATCTTTTTATGTAAGGTTTTGGTCGAAATGAAAAAATTAGTGTCTCGAGCGGGATTCGAACCCACGACCTTTGGCTAAATACGCCGCATTTGGTGTCCGAAAGGATCGAAGTCAAGATAGCTCAAGTGGAAGAGTAGCGTTGTATTTAGACGAAGGTCGTGGGTTCGAATCCCCCTCGTGGCACTAGCTTTTTAGTTTCAACCAAAACCTTACATAAAAAGATTGTTTATAATAAAAGTATAAATGTAGTAACAACGAGATACGACGCCGGACCTGGTGGGGTTGGGGTCAGGAAGGATGTGGAGGATGCAATAGATCAATTGGCTAATAGCAAAGGCTAAGGCCAAAAAAAAAATTGTTTTGGGCGAGTTTTGATAAGCATCTTACATTTATTTATACGATGACATTTGACCAGATTTATTATTTTCATTTATTTAACGAATTGTTTAGAGTTTAATAAGTATACTGTTTTTGTGTTTAGGTCCTCTGAGGCCGTTAGATTCTTCTACCGCTGCAAGTTGGTGGAGGCAGGAGCTGACACCAAGCCAGTCCTACCCTGATGACGATCCGGCATCTGATTTTTTCTCCTCGAGCCACGGCCTCGTACAGACGCACCCTGCGGACTTGTCCGGCCCTGCTTTCGGAAGCCCTCCGGTCCAGGATCCCGCCCAGAAGAAATACGCCCCGGCGTCATCCCTCGACTTCGTCAGGAGGGGACTCGACGAACTGAGAAGGAATCCTCTGCTTTCGTCTCCCGAGGAGTGCGCGAGGGCTTGCCGCGAAGGAGAACCCCCCAAGATCTGCTACTACCATTTTACAGCTGAACTTTACACAGTACTCGGAGCGTAAGTTTAAACGATCAGCCTTGTCGATCTTTCTTTTTATTTTGTTAATTTTTTTTTTTCTAAATCTACACATTGATGATTAATTTCAATGCATTGTTTACCGTTGACCTTGTTTTTATCCTTCCTTGAAAAATTCCTTTTATTATATAAATAATTAATTCAACTCGTTTGTTCCGATCTTAGAGAGGTAATTAAAATTACCCAGCATCTTAATTTCATATAACGAAGGAAATGCGCTCGACGATCTGGTTAAACTAAATTTAGAAACCAAAGAAGCTTTTTACACTGATAGTCAAAATAAAACTGATATATTTCTCAATTTTTTACATAGATATGTAATACTCTTTTACATTTTTGTTTAAAATCAAAACAGTTTAAAAAATAAAAATCGTTGAAAATGGTTAGATTTCGTCGTGTGTTTTTCTGAAATTTATCTATATTGCATTGATTTTTTTTTTCGTTCTATTACACCTCGTTCATTTGCACGCTCGTTTATTTCTTGTTCACTCCAATACTTTCTTTTGTAACTTTCTCACTACAATGCTTTTTCTTTCGTTATATACCTCTCTCTGTTTCTCTCTCGCTCTCTCTCTCTCTCTCTCTTTTTCTTTCTTTCTTTTTCGCTCTCTCTCTATCTATCTATCTATCCATCAATCTATCTTGTGCACTCTATCTATTTACTTATCTCCTTTCATCATATTCATATTTCCTGAACGTAATGCTATTTCTTTTTTAACTATTTTTAAAAATCTTTTTTGATAGTTCTTCGCTCTTATTCACTCCTTTCTCTTTCTCTGTCTTTATCTATTTATCTATCTCTCTCTCTCTCTCTCTCTCTCTCTCTCTCTCTCTCTCTCTCTCACTTTCTTTTCTCTCTCTCTCTCTCTCACACTTTCTTTTCTCTCTCTCTCTTTCTATCTATCTATCTATCTATCTATCTATCTATCTATCTATCTATCTATCTATTTATCTATCTATCTATCTATCTATCTATCTATCTATCTATCTATCCATCAATCTATCTTATGCACTCTATCTATTTATCTCTTTTCTCATATTTCCTGAATGTAATGCTATTTCTTTGTTTTCTTTTATTATTTTTTATTACTACCTGTATTAATAAAATATAATCGCGTAATTTACGGTTTTTTACGTATTTACATTTTTGCACTGTATATCATGTCTTGAGGGGAATCTTTTTTAACTATTTTTAAAAATCTTTTTTGCTAGTTCTTCGCTATTATCCACACCTTTCTCTCTCCCTCTCTCTCCCTCTCTCTCCCTCTCTCTCTCTCTCTCTCTCTCTCTCTCTCTCTCTCTGTCTTTATCTCTCTATCTCTCTCTCTTCCTCTCCCTCTGTTTCTCACTCTCACTCTCTCATGCTTTCTCTCTGTCTCGCCCTCTTCTTCTCACTCTCCGTCTGTCTGTCTATCTGTCTTTCTGCTTGTCTGTCTCCCTGCCTCTCTCTCTCTCTCTCTCTCTCCCTCTCTCTCTCTCTCTCTCTCCCCTCTCTCTCTCTCTCTCATTCTCTCTCTCTCCCTTTCTCTTTCTTTCTCCTCCCCCCTCACTCTCTCTCTCTCTCTCTCTCTCTCTCTCTCTCTCTCTCTCTTACTCGATATCTAAATAGATATATTTACTTATGTATCTTTTTATTTTCTTCTCTTCCTGTCTCGGGTGCCAAGATATTAAATTAAGGGCCGCTGTTTTTCTTAATTCTTCATATTTAGTTTTTATGTAATAAAACCCTTTTGCCCGATGTTATGACAACATAACACAGAAATCGAATTCCTCCAGTTGCAGTTTACGTCCACAATTTTATGCACGAGTTGTCCCTGTTGCAGACAAGGTGTTCAATATTATTGTACGAACCGCAGGCACGGTCGAGGTCGGTGTAATCACGGCGGGAAGGGAAATATGTAAAACGATTAAACGGTCTATCGATGAAGAATATTTTCGGAAGGATCATTAGAGCGGGGACAAAGACGAGAACAGAAGTTACCCAACGGACGGTTTCTCGCAATCCTCTGGGCAAACATTAACTGTGAAGAAAGGGATCTTGGTTGGCTTGTTTTTTCATCATTAACCTATTGGACAAAGAAATGAAAAAAAATCAGAGCAAGGACATTTTACCCTGCAGTGAAATTCGCTCTTGGTTCAAAATGAACCATTTGACTCGTGTCCTTTTATGCAATTGTGAATTTTTGTAGTAAAACTTAAAAAAACAGTTTTTAATTTTTAACGTTTCTGATGATCTAAGGTAATTTAGATTAAAGCCGCAATACATTAACGGAAGCGAAAAGAAACCAGAGACAAAAAATGTACCACACGACCGACCGTGAAATGCTTATTTAAATTAGCTTTTCTAGTTTTTTATAAACTTGCTGTTCGTACCTGAAGGCTAAAAAAGAACAGCTATCCTTGTTACAACTTTTCTACCTATTTTCACCACACACAATATTAAAACTTTATAAAGTTGCTAAAAAGTCAACTTTATCAATATTTAGATGGAGAAGCGCATTGGTCAAGAGGTTAGGGCGTCTAGCGCACATTTGCCATACTAAATTCTGGGTTCGAATTCCCGGCTTAGCCGAGGGTTTTTTAATTGAGAAGAGTAATAAGCTAGTATTGTAAAGTGATATTACTGTAGGCGACTGCCAACGGAAAGTTGGACTTAAAACCCAGTATAGCAGGATTTACTTTCATTTTAAATATTTAGCATACAATCTTTTACAGCAATCAACGCTGTTTTTAGGTTGTGTTCATTTAAAATGTTTACAAAAAGATTTTTAAAAGAATTATATAAGTTCTTTTGCAATAAAGCACTACTTTCCCAACACCAAATCTCAAGCACCTTAAAAGGCCGGGACGAGAGCCGGCGAAAACCTGCGACATTTCACAATTTTATCACTTTTAAGATTCAACCGGCGACATGGCATAAGAAAATTCTTAGAAAGAAAGATATTTAAAGGAGAAAATTTGTCGCTAAAAAACAAAACAAAAATTATAAAAAATCAACCGAATTTGTTCTTGCAAATCGCACATAATTTTGCAATTTTTACAGAGCTTGTCAGGTCTGCACGCCCAACGCCACCAACACCGTGTGGAGCCATTGCCAGTGCGTTCTTGCCGACGGTGTCGAAAGAGGAATGCTCACGATAAACAGGATGCTTCCAGGTCCCAGCATACAGGTAATATTTTTAAAAAATACACATTTTAACGAGAAAAAAAATTAAATATATAACCTATTTTCTTTTAGGTCTGCGAAGGTGACAAGGTAGTCGTCGATCTTTTGAACAGAATGGAAGGAAGCGAATTGACCATCCATTGGCACGGAATCCACCAGCGAGGAACCCAAATTTCGGACGGAGTACCATTTGTGACTCAGTGTCCCATCTCGGAAGGAAACACGTTCAGATACCAATGGGTAGCTGGCAACGCCGGAACACACTTTTGGCATGCTCACACTGGTAAATAGCCAATTAAACGTTATAGGGGTTTAATTACCGAAAACAAAAGGCAAAGTGATTTCTAAGTTACGTCCGAATGTGTACCATAACTCCGCTGATAAAGAAAAAGCTTTCAAATGCTACTGTTCACGTCCTTTTAAGTTTAAAATCTGTTAAATAGGTTATTTAAAATATTATTAACATTCAATTATAGGAAATAATACCAAATAGCAAAACAAAGTTGCCATCTTTTTTTATACATAAATTTTGATTAAAATACAACACTTATTGTTGCTATTTTGAAAAACATCATCAGAATACTTGCTCAATTACATTAATTAAAGTAAATTCCAATAGAGTTCATCCTCATCACCTAAGAATTGGACACCCCAGACTTCCTCTTATTTTCATTGTTATTGATTTTTTTTTAATCCAGAAATGTTTTTTTACTAAATACCTATACGGAAAAGTTAGATCAAAAACTTTTTTTATTACTGTGTAATCAACCGTCGATTTCACTAACCTCAAGCCAGAAGTGTTTCTTCCGCTTGAATCCGGAGGAATGGCCAACAAAGGAGTTTTTATCAACTCGAAAAGTAGATTTTACGCCATTTTCCTCATCCCAATTGATGTAACTTTTTTTCGACTAGTTAACCCTTATCCGATGTTCCGGACAGGCAAGACTTTTCTCACGTGTAAGCCAGCGTCAGAAAGTTAAACTGACATTAACGTTTCTGACCTGTTGCAGCGGTTATCTTGACACAACGGTTCTGCAGTGCCGATTGCAGAGAGCATTTATCACTTTGAAATGTTAACTTGAACAAGGCTTTCTTGAGTAGACACAGCTGTAATTGTAATAATGTAACCTTTGTCCCGGGAATGTTAACATTTTGGCTGAACATGCTTGACTTCTTCCGTACTACCAATGTATTTACGCAATAAACCATAAAATTTCAAAATGAAAAGAAATCAATGAAGAAAAAAAATTGTTAGATCGTACCTGTATGTGAGAAATAATAAGTGAAATAGGATTCATGTTTTATTAGCGTAATACAGGCTTTTTTTTACCCAAACAAGGCTTCATTCCATATATACTACATTATTTGCTTGTAAGTTAATTTACTCGTTTAATTCTCTAGTTTTTGTGGTCTGCTTGACCAATTAATATCTTTCAATTAATTAAGATTTTTAGTTGAGATAAAAAGTCAGTGTCACGAGCGGGATTCGAACCCACGAACTTCGGCTAGATACGCCGCTGCTTTACCACTTGAACTATCGTGACTTCGATCCACTCGGATGCTAACTTCCCATCTCAACCCCTTTATTATCTCAACTAAAAATTACTTGTTTAAGTTTGTTAACTTTAACAAGTCAAAAATAATGGTCTTTCGCAGAGGGGGTAGGCTTGGGAGAAAAGAAGTTTGGAACTATGCTGGACAAAATATTGAGATTGTGAACCATATAAATATCTGGGTATTTATCTCACACCGTAGTTTGCGATGACATCTTAAAGAAAAATTAAATGTAGCCAAATTTGGTATTAATTCTACTTGGAAGTCTCTTTTGTCGAGTAGTGATGTTCCCATTTCAGCAAAATGTATTTAACTCTGTTTCCAAGGCGGTAATGTTATATGGTGCTCAGGTTTGGGGCTGTAAATGGTATGTATGACAGTGTGGAGAAATTTAATAAATATTTCGTCAAAGGTTTTTTTTTTTTTTTTTTTTTTTTTTTTTTAAGAAATGATACACCTGATTATGTATTATATTTAGAGACAGGGATTGACCCATTGTTTTAAGCCTGTTAAGCCTGCGTCTGGCATACATCCAAAAAGTTCTATGATTGTCTTCTGCTACAATCCCCCGAATTTTGGCTTTAAATATATTAGACAAGAAAATATTTTGGGCAAAAGAATTTGAAAATTTGTGTCTACAGCTTGATTTAACCCCCTTGAGTTACTCCGACTTAAATAAAAATAGAGTGGAAATGTGTAGTAAATGTTTTGAGAATTGACTTTATAAATGAACTAAAATTAAGAGCAAAGCGGTCTGTCTTCCATAGTTTATACAATGAGATGAATCTGGAATTAGGAGAAAATCATCATTATTTAAATAAAAATTACAATTTGAATAGGATAAGTGTGATAATGAAGGCGAGATGTCAACTGCTGCCTCTTAATTACTCGGTTCACAGCGAGGAAGCGTACCGTTGTGCTTTGTGTAATTTAGGTGTGTATGAGGATGGGTTACATTTTTTGGCGGTGTGCCCTGTTTTGAAGGAATTCAGAATTAGGTGGTTTGGCAAATTGTTTTTAGGAAAAAATGAAGTAATGTCATTTTTGAATGGGTAGAACTAGCACAGTCCGTACAATTATGTTTTGTACTCCCTAAAATAAAGAGCGTTCCTAATCGATAATTTCAATTATTAATAAAGCATGGTGTAAATTATGAATTAGTATTAGTATTCTTATTATTAACATTACTAGTATTCAATTAATTAAGGTTTTTAATTGAGATAAAAAAGTCAGTGTCACGAGCGGGATTCGAACCCACAACCTTCGGCTAGATACGCCGCTACTCTACTACTTGAGCTATCGTGACTTCGATACTTTCGGACACTAACTTCCCATCTCAAACCCCACCTTTTTGAATTTTCCCTCCTTTTTGCCATTTTTCAAATGTGTTCGAATCCCGCTCTTGACACTGACTGTTTTATCTCAAGTAAAAACCTTAATTAATTGAATGACATTAATTGGTCAAGCGGACCACGAAAACTAGTGGAATTATTAGTATTATTCTATGTTGTTGTTGTTTTCTTTTGGCAACTCGACATACAGCCTGTGGGCTATTGTCTAGGATGTTTTATGTACTGTGTATTTTCTGTAAAATATTTTTTATTGTAAATATACATCATTATCTATCTATCTATTTGCTTGTATGCATTATATTTCTTCTATCTACCAAACAATTGGTTAATTACCGATCTTGGTTTTTCGGTGTTATTCTAGTTATTGCAAATATAGTATTAATGGTTTATTGTTTACACTATAGATTTTTTCAGTTAAATAGAACTCTCTTTGTCCAATATTATTTGTCGCTATTATCTGTTGTTGTTTTAAAGGGCTTCAAAAGATGGACGGTATTTATGGAAGCATTGTCGTCCGTCAGGCTCCATCTCACGACCCCAATAGCCACTTGTACGACTTCGATCTGACGACCCACGTCATGATGCTCAGCGACTGGATGCACGAAGATGCCATGGAAAGATTCCCAGGCAGGCTTGCCGCGAACACAGGCCAAGATCCCGAAACTCTGCTCATCAATGGAAAAGGACAGTTTGAGGTAATCACATCAAACGGGCGTAACTTTCTAAGATTTTAATTTATTTGCCATTTTTGTAGGATCCCAACACCAGATACCGTACAAACACCCCTATGGAAATCTTCACTATCACACCAGGCCGTAGGTACAGATTCCGTATGATCAACTCACTGGCTTCCGTCTGTCCGGCTCAGTTGACCATCCAGGGCCATCCGCTTGTCTTAATCGCGACTGACGGTGAACCTGTACATCCTGTCGTCGTGAACACAATTATCTCCTTCTCGGGTAATTAAATCGATTTAATTGAACATGATCAGAAGTAATGGCGTTTGTTTAATAGGCGAACGTTACGACTTTGTCATCACTGCTGATCAGCCTGTCGGCGCCTACTGGATCCAAGCCAGAGGTCTCGGAGAGTGCGGTAACAAACGTGTCCAGCAACTCGCTGTACTCAGGTACGCAAGAGGTCCTTACCAGCCATCAACACAGGCCCCAACATATGACGTCGGTCTCCCACAAGGAGTTGTAAGTAGAAAAATAATAAAAACAGCCAGAAAATCGAAAAAAGGAATTGGACTTTAAAAATAATTTTATCAGGTCCTGAACCCGCTTGATGCTCAGTGCAACCAACCTAGGAACGATGCAGTGTGTGTCAACCAGCTCAAAAATGCAAAGCATATCGATGAAGGCATCTTACAGGAACGGCCTGACGTCAAAATTTTCTTACCCTTCAGATTTTTGTTTTACAGACCCGAAGAACTTTTCCAACCTCATCAGTACAACAGATTTTTGGGTAATCAATTTTTAACGAATTTAATTAGTAGATATGAAAATTTCTGGATAATTACTCCTTTACCTTAAAAATAATTAGATACAAGGAGTCGAATCAAATTAGTAGACAAATCCTGACATTTTATTGATTGCTATTATACCATTTTTAAGATATTGATATTATGAGTCCTAATTTGAGAAATATTAGATGTTGCATGAATTTGTTAGATTTAAAAATTCATGCAAAGCATCCTTCAATTTTGTAGCAACTGTATAAAAGGTTTGGTAGTTTCCGCTTTTGGTCTGCCTATCCTCATTGATTTGGTCTGTAAAACGTGTCGTGATTTATTGCCATCATTAATAGTGGGTCTGTGACTTACCTACAAGTTAGCGACTTTGGCCTGTTGCTACTTCAAATTTATTTCGTGTATCAATCTTCTTAAAATTTGGTCAAAATATCCACAAAACCTTTATAAAACTAAGGAAATATCAAAAATCTAAAAAAACATTTGAAAAGTATTTGTTTTTTCGATTTATCGAAATTGTCCTCTTCTGATCCCATCATCACCACTGAGCCAATAAATATTACAGTCTGGTACATGCTAACTACAGCAGCCCTAATGGGTCATTCCTTCCAGTCCTTCAGTTTCCATACAACGGACGACTTGCTATATCTACACCACTACCATGGTACGGCCGATAGTAATGACTTGACAGTTTAAACATTTTTTCCTACGAGAGACGAAAAATGCACTGCCATGTATATGTTTAATCAACTATGGGCAATGTTCTTAAGTAATGTGGGAACATTAGTCTGAATCACTGAAAAACAAAATATTCCCAATACAGTAGTTATCAAATAGGACAAATGCTCGAAAAAGCGCACAGATCAATTTTCTCATTTAACAATCCAACAGACCCATCTTGAAGATGCTGATCAAATAAATGATCGGAAATAGCCAAAATACAGATTTATCACCCCGCAGACTCCATGAAGAAATATCACAACTGGAAAAGAGTTAGGGAAAAAAAGAGAATGGACAATTATTATTTTCCTGGCTGAGATGATATATATGAATCCGTATCTTTCTTTCCAAACAACTCTAAATTGTTATTAGGTTTTTGAATCAATCATGATCTTGATCTTAACGTTGCGTTTGTGCAAACAACCTTGCTTAACTTTGCGTCTTTTTTTAGTCGCTCCTGGAGGCGGTGATCACGTTATCAGTTTGGTCGATGAAATCTCTTTCGTATTTCCACCCGCACCGCCAGTTTCTCAGATCGACGACATCAACCCGGAACAGTTCTGTAACGGAGACAACAAGCCAGCCAATTGTGGAAGAAACTGCATGTGCACCCATAAAGTCGACATACCCCTCAACGCGGTCGTAGAAGTCGTCCTTGTCGACGAAGGTAATTTAAGAAAATAACGATAATCAAAACACGTCGCTATGATATCCTGTTACTATTTCAGTACAACAGCCTAATTTGAGTCACCCGTTCCATTTGCACGGTTACTCCTTCAACGTCATCGGTATGGGAAGGTCTCCCGACAAAAACGTGAAGAAAATCAACTTGAAACACGCCCTCGACTTGGACAGGAGAGGTCTCCTCCATAGGCAGTTCAACCTCCCACCTTCAAAGGACACAATCGCCGTGCCCAATAACGGATATGTCGTTTTTAGATTCAGAGCCGATAACCCAGGTATTTCAAGGCGTTTTTTTATTGTAAATATTCACTGTATATAATTGTAAATTTTTCAGGTTACTGGCTGTTCCACTGTCACTTCTTGTTCCACATTGTTATTGGAATGAACTTAATTCTTCACGTGGGTACGCAAGCGGATCTGCCACCTATTCCACCCAATTTCCCTCGATGCGGAGATTTCCTACCACCTGTAACTCTTCACTGATAATAGTTTGCTCTTCTTCAATCAACAAATCGTTTCAAATTCTCGCAATTTATGAACACCGCGAACCACATTTAAATTTAAATAATTTTATATCAGGCTCTATTTTGAACTTTCTTGCGAAATAGTACTTTATAGATGAAAAGAATGAGATTATTCTTTTATTGTAGTTTTTTAGGCGAAATGAAATCGTGTTTGAACTACGTTTGTGTTATTGTTCATAATAATGCGAAAGCACCGTCACTAGGGTGTAAAATTGTTTATACTGTGGTGTACATTTTATTGTGGCGTTTTTAGATTAGAACTATCCATTTACAGATTCATTTTCCCCTCCTTTTCGAATCAGATCTGGTCCCTTGTGCTTTAAGCAATATGTTGCCATAACAAAATGATGCAACAATTTTCTCATAACGCTCCATCATCATATAACTTGGTTTTCCACAGATCATCACGTTTTTTGTTCAATTTGATTGATTTATTAAAACGGGAATTGTTATCAATGCAACTGGACTTAATGTTTAGTTGTAATGCTCATAAAAGCTTGCCAAATTATTTACCCTTTTCTTAATTTAATTACTTATTTATTTTTTAATTAAGCAAGATTGCATGCAGGCTGGTTGTAAAACAGTATTAAAGAAATTTGAAATCTAGTTGTCAATTTATTTAATAAATTGATATTTTTTTATATAACGTAATTTTAACTTAAGGGAACTTTATAACTATGTTTTTTTATGCATTGAACAATAATTATAATTATAATTTAAAAGATGAAATAAGGGAAATGTTTTTTTATATTTACTATATATTACAAAATAATATATTTTTTACAAGGCAAATATATTAACCCTCAAAACAACTTTGGTATTTAGTAATATTTTATTAAAATTATCTGCACATTTCCAGTTACCAAAATAATAAGTTCTTCTACCAAAAAATGTATATTTCTTTTTTTTAATTATTATATTTTTTATACTTTTTATATATATATACGAACGTTATCAAAATCTTTCAAGAAATGACGCTGAGGAGCTTAGACTTGATTTTTCGTCACCAAAAATCAAGTGTCTGCTCCTGTAAATTTTTAAAATCCTCAAAAAGTCAATTTTTCTTTAAAATAGAAAAATTGATTTTTAAGAGATGTTTAGGAAAGTGTGTGCGGTATACATACAGTACGTATTTTGTATATAATTGTTTTATATAATAATAATGTATCTAAAAAAATATAGTGTTTCAATGTAAATCATCCTTGTGTTTAATATCACATCCCTTGTCCAAAATGAACCATGTATTCTTGCATATTTATTTTTAGCTTTATGAAGTGTGATAAAAAAAAAACCAATCAAATATAACACACGAGAAAAATTAAAATTACAGGATAAAAGTAGTCCATTTAGTCAATTTTTGTATTTTTTGTGACTCAGTCCTCAAAATTGTTTTATAAAAAATTTAACTTTTTTAACACTAATATTTTATGTGAGATTTCTTCATAAACCTGCAGGTAAATGAGCCTGTATGTTGGTCATTTCCCATCATTTTTGGTCTGTAAGACTGTTTTAATTTTACTTGTAGGTCTGTCATATGCTTTAAAATGGGACAAATGCACAAGAAAGTGAACCGACCAATTGCTCATTACCTCAGGCCCAGTACAGATTGTGGCGAAAAACCGAAATATGCCTGACAGACCAAAATAGTAAGGGTACGCAGATGAAAATAGTCATAAAAAAGCCGAATTTCAAATAATATTTGGTCTTAGCATTTTTTGTCAGCTTATTTTTTCATTTTTTATTTTTCATCTTGGAATCTGTTCTTTGAATTTTTCAAACTGAATCTTTCAGCTCAATCTGGTGTAATATTTGGTATATGTAGTATTCTTGTAAGTCTAGTTCAATCTCTTAAAAAATTAACTAGGTTTTATTAAATCTTTTTGGATAGATTATTTTATGTGCAAGCTGTTAATTTTTAAGCTATTGGCAAAAATAAATCAACCAAAATTGGCAAAAAATCAATCAATCAAAAACACAGACAAACAACAAGGTTTGTCAGTCAAATATGATCGATCTCTAACACATGTTACTGATAATGAAAATGTTGAAAGCCTACTAGCTCAAATTAAATCAAGTTAGAGACTATCTGGAAACAGGTTGCTTTTTCCAAATTTGGGTAAAGGTGAAGATGAAAAAATTAAAAATTAATTTCAATTCCTAATAAATCACGATATACTAAGACCGCCTAAATCACATTTTAGTACAATCAAGAAAAACGGACAATGGCCCGCATGTGGTCCTCAATGCTCACACAATGCCAGTGCTCAGGGCTGAAGATCTTAGTGAAATCCTAGAGCTTAAATATATTTTTTCTAAAATAGATATACACGGAGCAGTTATACTTGCCATTTGGCCTGTACGAATTTAACTGTACGCCTTTTGGCTTACAAAATGCTCCTAGCACTTTTCAAAGATTTATTCATAATGTCTTATCTGCACTATTGTTTCGTCTATATAGTTGATAAAATAATAGCATCCAAAACTGCCGAGGAACCCAACAAACATCTGAAAGCTGTCTTTGAAAGACTGAATTCATACGGACTTTGAATCAATATCAGCAAATCTGTTTTTGGAGTGGAAGAGATTTTTTTTTTTTATTCCCATCCACCTCCCCGCCGTACCTGAGGGAGACCCCATACCGGCGGCCTCGGCCACTAGACTGACTTATTTTCTTGTATGGGGGAAAATGGAAGCTTAACGCCTTCCTTATGCCTCGCTCTAAACGAGGGGCACGAGGAAGGTTAGGGGTATATATATTTTTCCTCTCTGTACTACTTAAATTGACCTAATCTAATAGGTCTCCCCCTTGCTGGTTACTCCTTTTCACACAGTAATATCATACAATCATTACATAAAATTTCAAAATTAAAATTATAAAAACTATATAAAGTTACAAAACAATATAAATATACTAATTTAATCAATAAAGAACAATCACAGTTTTAGGTACTATATAACAATGTTAATTTATTTTTAAAGAAGTAACCAGCCCGGAATTATCTGTACTAAGGTTACACACTTAAATATATCACAGTTTAATCACAGGTGGTTTAGAAAGTTTTTTTTTCAGGTACTTGGTTTACTACCAGCTAGGATGCTCTGTGTGAGCTGTTTGAACACATGATACGTTTGCTCGCTTTTCACAAGTTCCTTCAATTCTGGAGGCCATATATTCTGAAAACTGTTTCGCAAGTCCTGACGAATTTGTACAAAGCTTGGGCAGAAGAATAGGAGTGGAAGAGATGCTTTTCCTAGGTTTTCTCATATCTCGTGATGCCATCCGTCCAGATCTTGATCGCGTCAAGTTGACTGTAAATATCAAAAGACGAAAGGTACCCAAATTTTTTCACGGTGGAACTAAAAGGGAAGATGACTAATATTTCCATAGATAGGCCTAAACCTGCATACGTGTTAGCCGACCCTGAGAATCCACATATTGACCTAGCTGCACCGACAAAACACCATGTGACGAAGAACCTCCATCATTATCAAGAAGTACAAGATCAGGACGCCAAGTTCGCTTTCCTGGACGCTATACCCTGTTCTTAAGCTGACCTGGCCGCTGAGAGGGGAATGGAGTGGGGTAACACTGCTTCAAGAGCACGTGGCGAGAGGGCTTGCTAATTTGCGCTCGAGAAGAGCGCGTTTTGTCTTTGTAGTTTAAAAAAAAATAGTTGTACAAATTAGTAGTGCGTTGCGCAAATCGCCTAACCCCCTACAGAATGTCACCTGAGATACCATAAATCATGGGGCGTACCTTTTTCCCGAGCGTCTCCATGACATTACACCCATCTGAAGATTTGAGGCCAATTTTCACCTCATCTGTAAAGGAAATTCTTCCCCAATCTTACAATGCACAATTCACATGTTTACGTGCGAATTGAAGCCTGGCTATTTTCTGAGCTGTGGTAACGACCACGAGCTAGATGTCGGGCCCTGAGTCTTTTTTCATTGAGCCTTCTCTTACAGTCCTGGAAGAAATCGAAACACTTCGAACTTGTCTTATCAAATTTTTTATCTCATTTCCCGTATTGCTGCGGTCCGTGCAGCCTTTAGGTTGACAGACAAAGCTATCCTCTCTCTCGTCTGTACACCTAGGTCGGCCCTGTCCTGGCCTTCTAGAGGGTAGCCCTATTTCTCTGAAATATATTTCAATAATATATAATAAAAAATAGAATATAAAATATATTTCAGTTTCACTCTTGAAACGGCTACTTTTTCTATTGCAAAACATAATACTTATCAAATATTACGATTTGTCAAAACTGCTCGCCGCAATTTTTCAAAAAGGTGAATGCAAAAAAGATCTATTATAAAAAAGAAGACAAGATCTTTGAATACAAAAATATTGTTTATTATTTGTACAATATCACAACTTTATTTTCTAAATTTGTATATAAATAAAAGCGCAGACATTCTTTCACAATAGTAATTTTTTTCACTGTGGTGCATCAGCATTTATAATGATTCAATCATATTTAGTGCCAAAATAAAAAGACCTTACTTATCTATTTTGACACTTGGCACTACCAATATTTCCCTGATACAATGCTTGTAAATTAACTACGTACTAGCTTTATGCCTAAATATTGCGATTATCACATTAAGATGTTACATAAGATTATTAGAATAATTGTGTCATAATTTTAAAAAATAAATACAATATTAACAACTTTTTGTGTGAATATAGACCTTTCAGTCAAATTGTCAATAAAAAGAATTGTTTTGTTTATAAATTTACCTTTCCTATTAGCAAGCATTTTCTACTGATTTATTTTTTTATTATTAATATTTTCAATAGAAACTACTAATTATATACTCATTATCATTTATTTAGTTCTAAATCTTAATAAATTTAGATCTAAATAATTATAATGAGCCAATCAACAATATCAATCAATTTCATAATTTAATGATTAAAGGGAACAAAATTTTTATGTAACAAATAAGTTGTTTTCTTACTTATAGTAATTAATTAGTTGGTATTAATTGTTGTTCTTTACTATTTATATACCTATTTAAATAGTCTTATTTATCAAAACAACTTACAAGAAAAAAATAACTTTATGAGCATAATTTAATAATTGTTACTTTATACATTTCGCCACTGCTCATAACCGTTGGCACAAAGCGACTGATTCGTATAAAAACAACATTACAAATAATAAGAAACGTTTATACAAAAAACTTGCTTAGAGGTACTTAAAATGAAACAATTATATTTACAAATAGGAGCTTTACAATATTTACACCAAACGTAAATTAACATAATGAACCAAAATAGAATAAATTTGAGATCAAATGAGGAAGAATTGCGGACCGACCCAACTGCCGCACTTCGGAAAGTTGTCAGGGACTGATGGAAGATTGTAGTTTTCGCCAACTTTGAGCACAACATCGAGGCCACTTGCCCACTGAGAGGCACTCTGATCATGCAAAAGCCAATAGCCTGAAAATTATTAAAAATTATATTACTTTTAAAACATTACATTTAAAACTGCAAATACTCTTAGATTTGGCATAAAGGAAAAACTACAGTTTGTAAAAGGCCATGTTTCATCCTTATCAATCTTTGTAAAAATGGGGCATTTACTTTTTACTTCAGTAGGGAATCACAGACATAGATGCAGTCCAATGCATTCTTCTGTGTAAACTTGGGAGAAACCCATATTGCTTCAACAAAAATATTTAGCTTCTCTCAAATGCATTGGAGTCAATTGCAGTCAGTTGCAATTCTTGTATGACATTTGTTAATTGACTCTGTGACGTGCTTGTCTTTGAGTATTGGTTATTTGTGGCAAAACTTAGATTTGTCATTATCAATGGATGAAGGTTGTCAGAACCCTTGCGCTTTCAAAATCAAAATTTCTGCTTCTGAACAGAACTAACCACATGCAGCCGTTCCCCTAAAGTGACATCATCATACACATTACAAATTTTCCGATCAGGCTGAGCAGTGGTTTTTTTCTTTATTTTTTTCTTTATTTTTTTTATTTCTTACTCTTTAATACAAATCCATTAAAAGATAAAAATGAACTATTTTCCTCTCTTTTAATTTGCCAAACACCTTGTAAAAATGTAACATCTCAAACGAAATTTATAAATAAAAATAACTTTTCAGAGGTGTAAACAATAGTAACTTAATAAACATTGCTCCAAAACGCAGCAGGGATAAAATCGAATGAATATAAACTGCTGTGGACCTATTTTGCAACCCGATATTTGCATTACAGGCATATTTCCCTTCATTTAATTTCTTATATAGGGCCAATTGTAGAATTCATGTTTTCTTTAATTTCAAATACTTCAACTAAATTAAATACATAAAAATGGCTTATTTTGAGTCACTTTCTTCATCTCAGTGCCTGGGAGGCAATACCACTATCCAGAATATTCCTATCTTTCTTTTATCATAATTTTTATTTTGATTCTTACAAACAGAAGGTTAAGATGTATTAACTATCATCACCTCATCGGTTGTTACATTATACAGCCAAAACTCTGTGGAATATAAATGTGTAAAATATAAAGAAATTTCCAACCCTGTGTTATTAAAATTACTATTTGAAGCTTGTAATTTAAAAATCAGCAGGAGTTTTTCTGGTTGAATGATATATATATTATGCAGGGTGAGCGACCTAGACCTGAGGGGTTAAATTCCTGGGTAGACTCGTACCCCATCCCTAAAAGATCCGGTACTTGGTCGGCTCACGAGTCCTGCATAAACCTCTTGGACCTGTTCACAAACCCCAAGATTTTGGACCATTTAATCTCGGGGAGTGAATTCGTGATGTCCTCTCCTTCAAAGATTTCAAATCTAGACCTAGCATATCTATCACACTCTGCGAGGTAGTGCCTTGACGTTTCTTCTTTTATTTCACAAAAACGGCAAAAGGGATCTGGTAGGATACCCATTACAAAGAGGTGTCTTCTCAGTGGGAACCGGCCCGTCAGAATACCTATCAGCCTCCTAATTCTCTTCCTTGAGATAGAGCATAGCCATTTCGATTCTGATGGTTTGATTGCCTTAACAAACTCTTTCGATTGGCTGTGTCCAGGCGATAAATTCCACTCCCTAAGGAATTTTTTCATGCCCAAGTTATTAATACTCTCTTTCACTTTCGCTGTGCTCATAGAGTGAGTTAATACCGGTTGTGGTTCAACAGAACCTTCTTTGGCTAGGCCATCCGCCTTTTCATTGCCATGGTGTCCTTTATGTGCTGGTATCCAAATAAGGGTTACCTTGTTATCAAACCTGAACGAGATCCTGTTGATAAGATCTATAGTTTCCTCCACCAGTTGTGAGGTTGACAAATCTTTTTGTAATGACCTAAGGCTAGCCTGTCTGTCAGAAAAAATTCTAATATCTTTTCCCTTAATTTTATTTTCCATAAGTGTTCCACAACACATATTAATGGCCCAATGGCCCAGATTTCTGCCTGAAAAATGGAGGTGTTATTGCCAAGAGGGGAGGATATGCTGATTCCTAATTTAAGTATGTAGATTCCTGCACCGCTCCCTCTACCTTTGATAAGTGATCCATCTGTATAGCAGTCTATGTTACAATGGTCATCATCCAAACTGTAATTATAATCACAAGGGGTGACAACCTGAAAGTGCTTTTTCCCCGAAGGGGTTTTAATCTTTTATCACTAATGCTTAATAATTTACCGTTAACCTTACTCAATAGTTGTGAGATTTTCGAGTGACCTATGTTATTGCACTTATGATTCCAGCTGCCCTCGCTAATTAATCTGTAGCAGCTGATTAGTGCTCTGACCTTAACCTCAATGTGAAGAGGTGTGATATTGGTTATGATTTCAAGTGCTAGGGTGGGTGTAGTTGAGAATGCTCCTGTCAACATCAAACAACCTAGTCTTTGATATGACCTTAATTTATTACTATTCCTTATTTTCTAGACCTTTCCACCCACCATACTAAAGCTGCAGAAAAAAAATCTAGGTATGGTTGAATGATAGATCTACATTGATTTTTTCAATTGACTTTCTTGAAACAGAATATCATATTTGCATTGTGAAATGTAATACCTTTAAAACCTTCATTTACCTTTAAAAATTTTTAGTGATTTATTCATTTATACCTGGGTTATTTGCAATAAATCGAAGCGCAACAGCTCCATTTCTAGGCACTGCTACTGTGTCTTTCACAATGGGGTTGAGAAGATTCCTCTTCATCAGCAAGCCTTTTTCATCCAGGTGTTTAAGAACTTCAACGTTCTGTTCTTTCACGTTATCTGTGACTCCAACAACATGAAAATGGTGTCCATGAAGGTGGAAAACATGATCAGCTTGCGTCACCTTATCTGTAACATGCGGAAATTTAATAACACTTATAAACTGTAAACAATTGACATCATTACCCTGATTAATGAGAATAATTTCAACTTTCGCTTTGAGAGGGATGTGTATCGTGTGTACACATTCGCAAACTTGTTCGTTCATACATCTGTCAGGGAGTCTGTCCTTCCGGCAGATTTCATGGTATGTGGTGTCATCATACTGGCTGACCAATGGGGAAGAAGGAAACATGAACGTTATGTTGTCCATTCTGGGTATCGCTTCACCTAAAATACAATGAGAAAATGAGAAAAATTCATCATGATAATATGCACAGACGTACTTTTTCCAGCCCCGGCAGCTATCGCAAGATAGTCAAAAGGCAAGTACAGAGTCACATCCATTTTTTCTTTGGCCAACTCGCTTGGCATCTTGTCAAAAGAATGAATCTTTTGAATGCACATCACATTCGAATCCTTTGCACACTTCTTGTTAAATACTGTGCTCACAAGCTGAAAACAAGGTTCAGACAATAAAACAATATTATATCCTTAAAATATAATAAATTGATTTGTTCTATTTAAACATGGTCTGCAGGTTGGTGAAGATATGTTAAACTGATCGACATTTGATTAATTTACTGGGTTCGTGTACTTTCACAGGTTTAGAACACTCAAACATGTTTCAGCTTCATACCATCTGTTCGGTTGAATTAGATGAATTCCTGATTGAAGATGGCAAGCTGAAACATTTTGAGTGAAATCTAAACTTGCAAGAGAGTAATCAGACCCAGTCTGCTAGCAATTCCAACCTTCATAATTTACAACAAAGTACTTGCAGGCATCAGGAATTGGCATTCTGGGGTCAGCCAAAGAGTTAGGGCTCCAGAGGGTATCAACAGCTAGGTCATTTCAGGCCCAAATCAATTTCTAGATTCAAACCGATCACACTCTCCTCTAAAATTCTTTCCTACTTACAAATCATTTACTCAAAAGTGGTTCGTTCAATCAGATCCAGTAGAGAATCAAATGTCCATCAGTTTAACAATTTATTAAAAGTTGAGCTTAAATTAATTAGTTTTTAGTTGAGATAAAAAAGTCAGTGTCACAAGCAGGATTCGAACCCACGATCTTCGGCTAGATACGCTACTGCTCTACCACTTGAGATATCTTCCCATCTCAGTTTAGAGATGGTTAGGCATACTTACAAATGGGCTTTTTTTCCAAAACACCGGCATCCTGAGGGTTTATATGACCTCTGCTGTTGCGAACCCTCGTAAAAAATAAATAAATAAACCATCTCAACCCCACCTTTTGAATTTTCCCTCCTTTTTGCCATTTTTCAAATGTCGTGTAATCTATTTGATTCTCGGTGACAAATGAAATGAGAATCAAATAGATTACACAACATTTGAAAAATGGCAAAAAAGGAGGGAAAATTCAAAAGGTGGGGTTGAGATGGGAAGTTAGTGGCTGAGTGGATCAAGGCCACGAAAGTTCAGGTGGTAGAGCAGCGACGTATCTAGCCGAAGGTTGCGGGTTCGAAACCCGCTTGTGACACTGACTTTTTTATCTCAACTAAAAACCTCAATTAATTGAAAGATATTAATTGGTCAAGCGGACCACAAAAACTAGTGAATGGAGTTGAGCTTAAAGTTCATTTTAAAACACATTTCAGCATTACCGAAGTCTGCACTGTTCCGGTCATCGGTTCGATGCTTTCCGATTCCATCATTTCATCAACAGTCGTGTTGTAGATGAACTTGGCCACTCCGATTGATTTTGTACAGTTAGAGCGCACCTCCAATTTGTACTCGCCTCCTTCCTTAGACGCGTCCATTATAAAATCGAATCTCTCCCCTGAAGTAGAGCTCATTTTAAAAATATTTCCCAATTAAATACTATTGAAAATAACCCACCTTGGGTGATTTCAATTGATTTTGTGTAGATGGGAACGATAGGATTTCCATCAAGGCTTATAATTAAAAGTTGGTGTTCTTTGAGTGATACAAAGAATGGACAGGCATTTCCATCTCCAGCATGAGCGACCCTTATTCGGTATTTCAACCCTTTGTTCACTTTAAGAATTGGTACTAAAGCATCCTAAACAAATATAAAATATTATTATTGTTTTAAACAAAATTTGAAATAAAACTGCTAACATTGTTGCTTGCAATTCCGTTAACAAGTATATGTGCGCCTTCGGATTGCCGTACTGAACTCTTCCACTGGTTAAGAATTATCATATGACTTTTGTCATCTATGTCATACAGTCGTCTGTGTTCATTTGTCCTATCTGCTTTCCGGACGACCAATGCACCAAATATTCCATCTAGGATTTCATTACCTGTTACATACCCAAAAAAATTAATTTACATGTTAGAAAGTTACCAGCACAATAACGTGTATCTACAAGCCATTAAAAAATAAATAATAAGTGATATTTCAATTTTAATTCTTTCTTATAGCAAGTATGGGATAAATTAACTTTGTGGTTAAACATTTTAGGCGGGTAATTTACAAGGGTGTGAACCCTCAGGACGGACAGAATGAACTACTCCCATGTGGATACTTAATCATCTCTCATCACCTCACAATTTTACAGTATTAGCTTTCAATTAATTACTTAATTATTTGTACTCTAAAGGCTTACATTTATTGGCCAAAGTTATGCCAACTATTAAAGATAGCTAAAGTTCATATATATTTTCAAACTCTGTCTATTTTAATTAATTTTCATGATGTTTTGACCAGTTATGATTGCTCTTCATGGATAGTAAGAGCATTTTTTAATTTAAAATTATCCAAATCTAGGAGTTTTAAATAATATTTTTGAATTTTCATAAAAATTATTTAACATTTTTATTTTAAATATTATAGTCATAGGCTTCCCCTTCAAAATGGCATTTCTTTTGCAAATAAACATTTAATTGTTTAATTTGTACGCAGTATAATTGAATCAGTACTATAAATTACAAAAGCTTTTCCACTAACCAGTGTGCGACTGCCACAAATGTGTGCCGGCTTCTGAAGCCCTGAATTTATACTGGAAGGTCGTATAACTGGAAATGGGGCATTGTGTGATCATGGGTACCCCGTCCATATAAGGGCTCTCAAACTGTTTTTGACCCCTCCAGTGAATAGCGACACCCTGTCCGGGAAGACGGTTGACGACATCAACAAGTATGATGTCATTCTGGCAGACCTGTAAAACAAAGATGTTCAAAATTGAAAGGAAATTGAAGTATCTGTTGTTGAACTTTTGCTGTAAGAATATAATAATTGAAACAACAGAGGTAGGGGTCCCAGACTCAAAAACAGTTTTGTTATTTCCTTTCAAATGTATTACATATTGCATAATTTTTTAAAATCTACATGCTCTGCTTAAATAAGTAAACATCAAAATTTTGTTCAAAACATTAAATAATTATGAGCAAAAATGCTGGTGACAAAATGAAATATAAGACAAACAAATCGATGCTGTCTAACATTATTTTCCAGAAATTTATACGTTAAGTTCTTGAAACAAACAGTTTTAACAAATTTACACCAATTTCAAAAATTTGACCAAAGGTTTCAGCAAATAGTATACTTTTTCTAATGCATTATAGCACCTTTCCAGGCACTTCACCCACGTGCACATCCTACCAGTCGAAGCATGCAAAACACCGGAGGACCAACACTTCTGGCGTGTTTTTCCTAAGATGGGGTCTTCAATCATTGTACTTAAGCAGGAATTATTTTTCACTTCTATTTTTGGGTATGAATTTCCCAATTAATTTCTTTTATTTCAATTAAAATTGTCTGGAAAACTGTTTTAAGTTGTAAATAGTCTTTTATGGGGAAATTAAATTTCATTTAAAACACAAGATTTCTTTTATTTGTTTATTCTCCTTTTTTTGTGCTTTAATGCTTTGAACTTCTGAGTTCAATATAACTGTGTGGGAATTGATTGAGTCCTGATTATTTTCACATAAGCAAGTTTCTGTAACCTGGGAGTGTGCATGGGTTGGGGTGGGTTAGATTTGATTAAGTTAGGATAGGCAGGGGTTGGGGATGGTTAGGGTTTGAGTTAGGATTAAGGTTCGTTTAAGAATGGGTTAAGTTAGTTTAGGTTAATGTTAGGTTTAGTTAGGGTAGGGTTAGTTTGGGGTTAGGAATAAGTAAAGAAAGGAGGGGTTAAGTTTAGGAACGTATAAATTTAGGTAGGGTTAAAGTTAAGGACTGGTTAGAATTAGGATAAGAGTTAGGGTTAGAGACAGGTTTCATAGCCACACTTTTTCTGTGAAGCCGAGAAAATGGTCGAGTGCAAGTTTCATTCTTTTTTTATTTTTATTGTTAAAATTTAGAAATAATTATTGTATTTTTCAGAAATTTTAGGCAACGAGGCAGCAGACATACTAGCAAAAAATAGAACAACATAAAAGCTCAAATTATAATCGGCATAAAATATAGCCAAATTAAAAAATTGAAATTGTGGATAACTAAAGATTACAAGTACTGGGAACGTGTGCGACAGCCCAATGGAGAAAGAGGAAATCCTTCTCAACAGAAAGGAACTACAAAGTATAACAGGTAAATTTAAGGAACATGTTCTAATAAAATACACTGATAGTCAATGACGACCATGTCTAGAGATAGAGACAACAGAACAATTCATCCTATGCAACTGCTCTATAATAGCTATGAAAAGGCTATGGTGCCTGGAAAAGTCTGTCCTGCGCAAATAGACCTAGATACACTACCTCTGTGAAGAACTCTATTCTTTATTAAAGAAATGAAAACCACCAAGAAACCCGTTAGCAGAAATCGGTTACTATGCAAGTTTTTTCCCGAAGGTATTTCAACTACGAGGTTGTATGAATCCTCGGGGTTGGAAAAAAAATTGTAAGTACGTCGGGTCCGAATGCAGGGCTGCTCGGTTTGTACCCAGGAGCTTTTTTACTTTTCAGTGATGAGCGTTGTGTCCTTTATTGTTGTGGCCACTGACGCCCCTTTATAAAAGTTTAAAGGCTAAATACGAGAGAGTGAGGTGCGAGTTTCCTTCATTTTAATTAATTAAGGTTTTTAGTTGAGATAAAAAAGTCAGTGTCACGAGCGGGATTCGAACCCACGACTTAGATACGCCGCCGGTAATCTACCACTTGAACTATCGTGACATCGTTCCACTCGGACTCTAACCTCCCATCTCAACCCCACCTTTTGAATTTTCCCTCCTTTTTGTTTTTTTTACAATACGTAATAAAAGTACACAAGTAGAAATGTATGAATACAAATATGTATACGAAAAACTGGAATACAGTTTTCTCATTGACTATCCACCCCACATCAAAGTCAGAATTTTAAACGGATTATTATATGTAAATAGCATAATTTCAACAAGGTTTCTGATTACAAGAAAAATAGTTGGCTTACCTGAATTGAGGGACCCGGAAGCTGTTTGTTCGCCGTCAGTATCCGCTTTGAATTTCCTTCGGCGACCATGCATCCGAAACGAAAGCAGTGGGATATGTTAGCAGGGCAGTCGCCGCACAAACTGCAAAACAAATAAAAAATATTTATTTTTTAAAAGAAAAAAGTGTTTGTCGTTACGGAAAATTGCATAATTCTGTTGACATAGGGAATAGGGCTTAAGAAAGTTTACCGACGGGCTCGCGTCCGATTTGAATTTTACAACCCCGTGTTAAAAAGTCGGGTAATATTTGCATTCCCGCTCGGGGTGGTTTTTCCGCCGATGCTAAGCGCAATTGCTTTGCCCTCACCGTAAATTTAGCGATTTTTTTTGTGATTTCTTTTTCTTTATTTAATACCTGCAATCGTCATTGAAAGATTTAAAAAATAATAAAATATCTGTATGAGAAATATCGCATTTTAATTAAACAATTTTTTTCCATGAAGCTCTCAAAATTTGGAGAGGACATTTGTAAGGAAAATCCAAACGGAAAACCCTGCACGCTATTTATCATTTACCTCCACTTAATTCTCTTCACTCTAAAAGAATTTCTACACAATGAACCGTAGAATATAAAATATTTTTTACATTTGTTTTTATTAAATGGCTGTCAAAGCATAGAAATGCTAGAAAGAAAGTCGATTGTTAAGTGAACAGAAGAATGGCAGGCCATAAGAAATCTCAATAAAGCCTTCAGAGCGGCCCATCTCCAGAGGAGAAAGTATTTCGGTATACGCAATACGACCGTGAAAGAAATAATGCCGACACAGGACGGAAAAACATATCATTAAATACAAAAAGGTTCTCCCAAAATATTATTTTTTCGTTATAACCACGAGTATATTGCAATATTTTGAAGAATTAATGCAAGAATTGAAAGGCTTTTTATTGTTTGATTCGCCTAGAAAAGAAAAACCTTGGGTCTCTTTTTCAGCCATTTTTCTTGACACATCGAAAGTAGTAAGTACTAAACCAAGTACTAAACGAGGTAATCCCCATTTGATTTTTCTTCTGCTCACGTAGGGTCGTTTTCCTAACACGTATTGCCTTTGAAACGGTTGTGCTTTATTAATAGGAAATTGAGCTTGTTCACAAATCATGTGCATTCAATGTTACCTGATAGAGGAAGAGTGTGAATGGGGTACTTCCTACTTACACTGAGGTGAATAGGCATACTTTACAACAAATGTAGAAATATTTTTTTTATATCATTTATTCAAGGAAGAATGATTACTTAAGAATAAAATCCTCTGATTTTTCTTTTAAATTTATATTAAATATACGCTGCCCATCAAAAAATAACTGACCACCTGGTTTTTGCACGAAAAAATGGCCAAATTTGAAGATGCGTATTTTCTCAGCCTTTTAAGTCACAGACCTGCGCTAGGTCTCCTTTTTAGAAATTTTTACGCTGAACAAGATGGCTTTTTAAATATTTTCCTAGCTTCAGTCATTCATCAGTAAATTTAAAAATTCGGGAACATGTTAATTTTTGCACTTTTTACAAAAACTTCAAATTGAGCTGTGGAGCCAGGAAATTGTCCTCAGAGCGGCGCCCTATAGCAATTAAATCCGGGAAATTTTAATAAGCTTTCTCCCGGACACATTCTGCACCATTTCCAATAAAGTCTCAACTGACTACAAAGGAGAGGAAGAACACAGGAGAGCATCAGATACAATGATATGGTACACAGATGGCTCCAAAACAAACGAAGGTTCCGGATCAGGCGTTTTCTGCACAAGCCCAAAATATGAGCACTCAAACTCATTAGGGAAGTATACTTCGGTCTTTCAAGCGGAAATACATGCCATCTATGCTTGTGCCCTGGAAAATCTTAGAAGAGGTTACACTGACAAAAACATCCTCATAAGATCAGACAGCCAAGCAGCCATTAAAGCATTAGCAAGTAAAAGAATTACATAAAAACTAGTCAGTGAATGCATCCAAAATCTCCAAAACCTGAGAAAACACAACAACCTAATGATATCTTGGGTGCCAGGGCACAGGGGAATTTTGGGTAACGAGGAAGCAGACAGCCTGGCCAGAGGAGGATCTGCAGAACCATACATAGGCCCTGAACTTGGGATAACAAAAACAAATATAGAATCCTCCATCGCAGAATAGGATCCAAAGAAAACAAAAGGAGAAGGGGATAAACTCTAGCAGTGCTAGACATAGTAAACTTATGGTGAAACAACCCTCACCAAGACTGGCAAAATCACTGCTGTAATTGGAAAGGACTAAACTAACTGGTCAACATGGGTATATACAACGATGATCCCATTTACAGATTATGTAATGAGGAGGAAGAAACAGCCACTCATATCATCTTCGAATGCAAAGCAACAGCTTAATGGAGATTTAACCTAACGGAAAAAACAGGGAATCAAATTGCAGCAGCGACAGTCAATGACCTGATACTTCTAAGGAGAAGGATCGAGTCTATTGCACTGAACTATGGAACTAAGAAGGTACAATAAGCCAGAAGGCTGCATTGCCTGGGGAGCGCACACCCCACTTCCTACTATCCTTTTTTACCATACCAATACTTTGGTATAAGCTTTCAATTGGTTACCTTCCATTTACCCGATTTCTCAACAGTTTTCGACTTTTTCGCGATTTTTGGGCAAAAAACGTGGTTCTTTTTACTTGCTCTTGGAAAAACCGATCACCCTCCCGATTTTGAAGAATGCATAAATTTTGAACCGTCATGTTTTCGCAAATTGTACTCTCCAACTTTTGTTCCGAGGACTTCAAAAAAGTGAACGTGGAGTGACAATTCTTATATTTTTTCTACTTTGACCTTTTGGGATAAGGAATGCTTCTGCTGTCGACAACCGCTTGTTTACCTCATCGCGGAAATTCAACTTTTCCTTCCCATTTCACAGGTGTTGTGGCAGTATTGGCTTCGAATAACGTATTGAAAGAAAGGTCGATGTATGGGAAAATCGGGAAAACACTGAAGCTAGAAAAACATTTAAAAAGCCATTTTGTTCAGCGTAAAATTTTCTAAAAAATGAGACCTAGGTGCAGGACTGTAACTTACGAGGCTGAGAAAATATGTATTTCCAAAGTTGACCATCTTTTGTTGGACAGTGTATAATCCATACGTATGAGTGAGTGTGTTTTATACAAGCTTATAATAAATACATACATTTATAGTGGAAGTAATTCGTACATCTATCTTTTTTATATATTTTGCCGTTAATAGCTTTTTTTAAATAGATGGGTAGTATTTGATTATCTGTTTGTTTTGTGTCTCTGTATGTACTTGGGTTTGTATATGAGTGCGCGTTTATTTGTTAGTATGTCAGTTAATGTATATGTACAGGGTGTTCCGTGAACAGAGGTCAATACATCAGCAGATCCTACATGCAAATTGTACTGAAAAGTCTCTACTGTACAAAATCTGATTCTTAATATTATATTCGATATATTTTCACTTTTCAGCTTAGTTCGACCTTTCCCAAATATATCCCGTTAAGTCCAACGTATCTCACAAAATATCGATGAAAAGCGCATTAAACCCCCTATGAGATTGATTTGTTTTTTTTTTATTGTGACTTTTAGCAAAGAAAATACAAAATTACTTCGAATATAAACTTTTACGAATTTTTAAAGTTTTTGCCTAAAAAGTTTAAGTAAGATTTTCTTGATCTTCAAATGTCTGTTTTGGTGCTTATAGAAAAGTCTACTAATGAGCTGTAAACACAAATTTCCCAAAGGCCCATTAGCACCAATGTCAAATTAACGTTTAATCGGTGAAAATTTGATTATTTGGTTACAAATGGTTTAATTAAGATTTGCGAGTTATATTACTAAAAAATACAAGGTGAAAAAAAGCCTCTTTGGTACAAAACTGAAAACAAAAAATTCAAAAATTTAATTAAATGGTCGCCTTCTTGAAGAACGTAAGCTGGACCTGACAGATTTTGAACAGTTTTTTTTTCGTTTTACATTGGTGATAACTGATCTGTGAGGAATTAAGTACAATACATGTCTTTCAGCGATTTAAAAGGCGTAACTTATCTGTTTACTCCATATCCATCAGTATTTACAGAAACCAGAAAATCTTACTTAAACTTTAGTCAAGAACTTTGGAAACTTGTAAAAGTTTTGTCTTCTTAGTGATTTTGGATTTTGTTTGGTTAAGATTAAGATAAAAAAATACAAATGATTCTCATAGGGAATGCTCTTTCCGTTGGTGAAATTAAAGCACCGTAAGATTAACATTTTATGAGTTACGGGGCACTTTAGAGAATAAATTCACTAGTTTTCGTGATCCGCTTGACCAATTAATATCTTTCAATTAATTAAGGTTTTTAATTGAGATAAAAAGTCAGTGTCACGAGCGGGATTCGAACCCACAATCTTCGGCTAGATACGCCGCTACTCTACCACTTAAGCTATCGTGACTTCGATCCACTCGGACATTAACTTTCCATCTCACTGACTTTTATCTCTCTCAACCTTAATTAATTGAATGTTATTAATTGGTCAAGCGGACTACGAAAACTAGTGAATTTAATAAGTTAAAATGAAGTATACTTCACTAAAGCTCTCCGTGGACATTTCATTTGTCGCCGAAAATCAAATAGATTACACGACATTTGAAAAATGGCGAAAAGGAGGGAAAAATCGAAAGGTAGGTTGAGATGGGAAGTTGGTGTCCAAGTGGATCGAAGTCACGATATCTCAAGTGGTAGAGCAGCGGCGTATTTAGCCGAAGGTCATGGGTTCGAATCCCCCACGTGACACTGACTTTTTTATCTCAACCAATACCTTACATAAAGATGTATACAATTTTATTGCATTCATGCTAATCGGCAGAAACCGTTCAGTTCCTCATTGTGAATGGCGCAATGGTGAAACACCTTTGAGAAGTTCAAAAACTTCTTCCAGTTTTTGTTGGATTGGCGAGAGAAGGACCCGAATAACTGACCCAATGCCGATTCAGCATGAATTTACCGACTCGCAGACCAACACGCAGCATCAAATCCAATTTTATTGCAATATTATCATTGAGAAAAGTGAATTGGTCTATTTTAAATAACATGTTCATCCCACTGAACATTTAGCATTTATTAGTTTGATGATTAATGATCAATGATGTAAACGAAAAAGGCAACACACTAATAAAATCGATCAAAGACGAGAATTCAAGATTAAAAAACTCAGGGCTACTAAAAATTGTAATTATATTTAGATGTTTAAAAAAATACTCAAGAGTTATAGTAATGATATTAAAAACAAAAACGCTATCACAACAACTTTGGACTTTTTGTAAAAATGTGGAACCAAGTTTTTCAAGAATTACAGACAGTCCAGCTATCGTTGGGACTTATAAAAATATAATAAAGGGGGATAAAAAAAGTCAGTGTCACGAGCGGGATTCGAACCCACGATCTTGGGCTAGATAAGCCGCTGCTCTACCACTTGAGCTATCGTGACCTCGATCCACTCGGACACTAACTTCCCATCTCAACCCCACCTTTTGAATTTTCCCTCCTTCTTGAAAGATATACGAAAACTAGTGAATTTAATAAGTTAAATGAAGTATATTTTCACAAAAGCTCTCCGGGGCCATTTCATTTTTCGCTGAGAACCAAATAGATTACACGACATTTGAAAAATGGCAAAAAGGAGGGAAAATTCAAAGTGGTTGAGCAGGTATTCATACATTTCCACTTGTCTACTTTTATTTAGTGGTTACGTATTGTAAACGAAAAGGAGGGAAAATTCAAAAGGTGGGGTTGAAATGGGAAGTTAGTGTCCGAGTGGATCGAGGTCACGATAACTCAAGTGGTAGAGCAGCGGTGTATTTAGCCGAAGGTCGTGGGTTCGAATCCCACTCGTGAAACTGACTTTTTTTATCTCAACTAACAACCTTAATCAATTGTTAGAGAATAATGTTGTGAAAGGTTGAATTAACAAGAAAAGTGAAATATCTCGGATATGAGATTCAGACATTGTACAATGTCTTGTACTATCTTCTAGTATAATTTGACTTGGAGGAAAACATCCTGAAATATTGATGTTTGTTCACGGGATACCCTGCATAATAATTCCATAATATTTGCTCAAAAATCATGGCTAAAACTGATGGTTTTTGTTTAGTTTTAACTAATTTTGCGCCCTTCTTACATTTATTGGAATGCTTTTGTATCTCCTAGAGTCGTTCCAACAAATTCGGCGTGATTCACATGTGTGTTGAAGGTCTAGGGCGAAGGTGAAAGTGAATTCTTGTAAACCGAGAGACCGGACTGACTGGATGTAGCTTCTTTCACGTGGAGGATCATCCTCACTTACGCAATGTTCTTGAACTTGATCCGATTCCAGACTTGATTTTAAAAAACAAGTATACACAAGTATGTTCCCTCAAAATCGTCAATACTGCTTGGAGAAAGGCGATACATTTACGAAACGTGAGCGTCGATTTAAGAAATATTTTACGACGTGAAAGTGTACGACTGGGAAAACCGATCTGTTCAATCCCGTTCCCGAGAAATCAAATAAATACAGTATTCCATCCTCAAAGTTTCTTTATGCCATGATAACCGTAGAAAGAATGCTTTCTGAGGACTATTTTCCAATTTCCTTTCCGGTTATAAGAACAGATGCCAAATTGCCAAGGATTCTAATAAATTTATAATCTATGAAGTCTGTTGTCGTTAAATCTCATATCATATGAAAAATACATGCAGAATGTCAGATGTTCCACTTACCCCCCCAAAGGCTGGTGCTGTTCTAAAGTAATCCGGAACCGGCATATCATAGGCCAGTCGAGCTCATGGCAAGGCCTATCACAGGAAGCGAAGTGTAAATCTGAAACATTGAAAACATCTATTCAACAAAAGGAATCACCTGAGTTCCCGGTTCCGTAGAGGTCGACAATGGTGGAAATGCAAATTCTGGGTTTGCCGGGCAGAAAAGGAGTTGAAGAACTCGTTCACCTTGATCTCAGAAAACCGTCTCTTTCCTTGTCTTATAAGTTCGCTTAAGAAAAGAAAAATATTTTCTTAACAAACTGGTCTAAAAGTACTTAAATTTCGTGGCAGATTCCACGCAGTAACCGTACATTAATACAGAAAAACAATCCTGAATATAAAGTTAAAAAACTATATTTTCCCACGCTTTGCCATTGTTATGCTTAATGTGCAATATAATACTTTTTCGCCCATTTGTAATAGAGACAAAATTCCCTCAAAACAAACATCTACGAAGTCAATTTTGAAAAATTTCAACGATAGTTGGACTATCTAAAATATCGTGACGACATATTATCATTGACCAGGATGCTTTTAAGCACTATTATTATTTTACATATCTCTTTACTATTATAAACATTTTTGATTTATTTTGGAAGCATGCAGATGATTGAAATGTACAAAGATGTGAATAATACATACAAACCTTTTTTTTTCGCAACAGGAGAGATCATATAAACACTCAGGGTGCCGGTGTTTTTGAAAAAATGCCCATTGGTAAGTATGTCGGGTACTTGGGCTTTTGGCCGCCACTTGGCCACTCGATTCGAACCCGGGACCGTTACCTTACATTTGATGAGCGCCGTGTCAAAGACTAAACCTTGCGGCCACCGATGCTCCTATGTACAAACCTTTTAAAACGAGTAACCCAAGGGGGTGATAGAAGAAAATCTCAGAGTTGGAAACATCCAAACGAGCAGTATTCATCATTGCAATCATTTCAACCGTCCCCAGTATCGGAAAGAAATCGATAACAGCTCAGATAAAGAGGAGTAAGTATTTTTCTTATAACCAGGAAAAACAAGGAAGCAAACTGCACCTAAACAGGTAACAGTATATTTGCAAGTGAGCTTACTTTTAAGCAAATTCTTCTTATAACATTTACAGAAAAGTAGACCGCATGAGCGAGTAGTGAAGGCGTCCAACTCCAATTTGCCCCGCCAACGGCTGTGGGTTCGAATCTTGGTATAGCCCTTGGAATTTTATTTGAGATTGGAGATAGTTATGTAAAGAAATTCTGACTCCCATCCGCTATACACCCAAGGGTATTTATACGTTAAGCACTAAATATAAGAAAAGGTACTTGAGTTTATGATTTTAAGATTTTAATGAAACATTTTCTGATGAAAAAATCAAAAAACACTAGACTCGTATCCGACCAACCTTGCCAACGGCCCTAGGAGCCGAGAAAAAAGCCAATGAATTTTTATAGCAAACATCAAATGCGTTTAACTTCCCATAAGCGGACGCAACCAGCAATGGGATTTTGTACGAATATTAGAAGGGTCCATATACGAAAAATTGTTAGGTACTTTCAATTAATTAAGGTTTTTAGTTGAGATAAAAAAGTCAGTGTCACGAGCGGGATTCGAACCCACGACCTTCGGCTAGATACGCCGCTACTCTACCGCTTAAGCTATCGTGACCTCGATCCACTCGGACACCAACTTCCCATCTCAACCCCACCTTTTGAATTTTCCCTCCTTTTTGCCATTTTTCAATTATCGTGTAATCTATTTGATTCTCGGCGACAAATGAAATGGAAAATTAAGATTTTTAGTTGAGATAAAAAAGTCAATGGCACGAGCGGGATTCGAACCCACGACAAGATACCACACAAAGATCGTGGTTTTTGAATTTTCCCTCCTTTTTGCCATTTTTCAAATCGGATTGTAAATATAATCGGATTGGATTCTCAAAGGTGGGGTTGAGATGGGAAGTTAGTGCCCGAGTGGATCGAGGTCACGATAGCTCAAGTGGTAGAGCAGCGGCGTATCAATCCGAAGATCGTGGGTTCGAATCCCGCTCGTGCCATTGACTTTTTTATCTCAACTAAAAACCTTAATTAATTGTAATATATTAATTGGTCAAGCGGACCACGAAATTTGTGAATTTAATTATTAGGTACATTGAATGTAAGTAATGAACTAACTTACATGCGGGAAGCGTTAAAGAATTAGTCATTTGTCATTCGTGAATACTAAACTATTCATTTTTTGTCAGTTTATATGAGACTTGTCATTCCAAACTCAATAAACATAGCTTGTCCGGTGATTAGTAGTACTTTTCATAGTAAAGTCGGCGGAATAATGCCGGACGGGGGCGTCAGTGGCCGCAACGGTTTAGACGTTGACACGACATTCATCACTGTAAGTTAAAGGTCCCGGGTTCGAATCCAGAGGCCCTGCATGCGAATCCGACATACTTACAAACAAAAAAAAATAATGCCGGAGAAAATGAAATCGTCTTTAGAAAATTTTTGGGTCCGGTTTATCACTAAAAATTTCCTAACTCCTCTCGATGGTTTTTACAACTGTTAGAAAGATTGATTTCGCCCCATTTGAGCTAAATTTATACTTTATGTTCATGATTAAGAGAGAAAAGCAGGGTCAACTAAAATAACAAACGTTTTATTAAACATCTCCGGTCTTAATTTATTTACGGACGCCAAATTTGTGTCCTTATGTATAGTTTATAGGCTTCAAAACCACTGTGAAACATCCTGTGGATCAATTGAGTGAAAAAGGTGACTCGATGACGAAATATTGAGTCACCTTTTTTGTAATTTTTGAAAATATCAGATGCATTTGGAAAGAGAAAAATTTGAGAAAAAAAATTATATTTGATTTTCCCTATGATTTATATTCAGGGGTACAGAAAACGACTATCATCTTTGTTTCTTGCTACAAAAATATTTTAGCCCACTTTCTTACGTCGCTCGGTCTTAAAATAATTATGTATTGCATTTCGATAAATGGCGCGATTTTTCTAGGAATTTCTTGATCAATTGGAAAGTAAAAAATGTGTGAAAAAATCTTTTTGATTTTCCCTAAAATTTGCATTTGGGGTGCAACAATGAATATCAACTTTTTTATTATTAAAAAAATTAACTGCTTTACTGCATCGCTAGATAGTAAAGTATTTCATTTTCATTTTCATAATGAACTATGGTACTACCAATTTTAGCGTAGTGACTGAGCGTTAGTTTGTTAATGCTAAAAACAGCATAAAATGAAGGCAGAAAATCATGTTCCCTCGGTCTAAAATCTCTAATATTTTCAATATTTTTCGGCCTAGTATCAGTCCGTCGCCTCTACTTTTGAGTACATATTAATGAAAAAATCTTTGTTCGCTCCATGTGCAATAAGCCTGCTGACAAAATTAAAATTTGACGCGACGATTCGTTCTTTTGATATTGTACATTATGCCATAAAACCGCCTGAATCAGTTACAATAGAATCAGTTACAATAAAATTTTGAAAAGAAAATATAAAATAGAAAAATGTACTGATGTTTTTCTTTGTTTCGTCAGGTAACTTTGAACTTTACATGTGAAGCATCCAAAGGATTTACAAAAAAATGCTCATCTTAAATTAGATTAATCTGGAATACAAAAGTTGTTCCAAGTCGATTTTATAGATAAGAATATCTAAAAGAGAAAATAAGGAAAACTCATCGCGTTATAAAAAAGGAATAGAATCGTGCTAGAGCATCCTTTCACCAAGGCGAGAATAGATGAAATTGCTTTCCTTTCCTTAGATGTATGTTTGCTATTTTTATGTTCAAAATTACGAAAATCCTTTTACGTTTTTTTTTTAATTCACCTTCCCTCATACAAATATACTTATTTAATCCAAAATCCTGTTGTCTTTCTAGATATGCACTCGTCAAAGGTCGTCAAACGTCTTCGTAGTGTAACAGCCCCGTAAACAAACAAAATGTATTTTACCGACAAGAATACCCGGGGCTGAAGGAAATCCGTTAAAATCAGCTCGCAAAGAGAAAGCACAAAGTATAAAAGGAGCTTGAATCTCAAAGTAAACAAGCCTCCCGTTAGACTTCATCACAAAAGACATCTTTTCGTCTTTTATAACTTTTATATTGGTATTTGACGAATCGACTGTATGAAAATCCCTTTGAAATGTCATCGTTAGAAATCATGGTCACAAGTGAAATTGTTTAATGTCGTCAAATTACTCAGCGCTTCGTCATTTAATATCCTTTCTGATTCACTTTCTAATTGTTTAACCTTTTTGATCCTATAATTGATATGAACACACAATTGAAATTTGACGAAACATTATTTGCATCTGGAAAATATTCAAGGCGTAAATAATTTAAAAACAAATTTATCATGGTCGCAATCTTGTTTATTACCTGTAACAGATTAGAAACAATATTTTTAAAAATAGTCTCACCGGTGTTTATTGAGAGTTAAGCCCGTGAAAAGCATTTCCTGAAAACTTATGTCATTTGTACTTGTACGCGGTTAAGAAAGTATCATCTGCTTAATTGGGTAAAGCTCGGAACTTTTGTCAAATGTCGCGGTCGCAAAGGGGGTTGGCTGGGTATAATTGGACAGAATTAAATCCAGACTATTGAATCAGAACAATTGACTGCAGAACATTTTGTAATTGATATTTTTAATTTACAAGTTTTAGTCAAGATTTATATACCAACAGTTTTTTTCTAAAATTATTTTGACTGGCTGGATTTGTGAGGTTTATCCGTGTTGTCTGTGGCGTGATGAACCAGAAATTTGGTCGTTACTGGTCATTTTGGTCTGGCTTTCCAAGCTGGGGTCGTCGGTCAGATCAAAATGATCGGTAAACACTAAATAACTAAAATGTATAAATCCAATTAATTAAGGTTTTTGGTTGAGAAAAAAGTCAGTGTCACGAGCGGCATTCGAACCCACGACCTTCGGCTTGATACGCCGCTCTCTACCTCTTGAGGTATCCTGATTTCTAGAAGTGGTAGAGTAGCTGCGTATCAATCTGAAGGTTGTGGGTTCGAATCCCGCTTGTTACACGGACTTTTTCATCTCAACTAAAAACCTTAATTAATTGAATGATATTAATTGGTCAAGCGGACCACGAAAACTAGTGAATCTGGTATAAGTTTATTCAACTGGTAAAAAAGAATAAAAAAGTAAAAAATTTAAGATATTCTGGTTCAGTTCCTTATTTCTTGAATGATTGACTGTCCTAGGAATGTTTTCATTTATCAAAAAATCTTTAGCTTAGTTGACTTAGTTCGATCCAAAATTACCTCTACTCTTTTTAAGATTATAACTGGATGATCAATCCATTTTCAAAGTTAGCCAATTAGGCGATCCTTAGGGAGAACGTATGTTACATTTTATGCCGTGGTAGAAATTATGATTGACCGAACTACTTTTGATAAAAGAATTTTTAAAAACTTAGGAGGAATAGTATCAACGACATTTTGGTTTATTGTCATTAGAATCTGATAATTTAATAATAAAAAATTAATTTATAGACAATTATTTTAATACAAAATATGTAAACCGTTGTTAGCACGCCTAATTTTATTTTTAGAGAGAGTGCATGGAAATCCTTTTTAATGTCGAAATAACATATTTTTACAGACTTATTAGAGAAAAACGTGAAAACAATACCTGGGAGAGGAGTAAGGAAAAGGACGATCCCGACGAGGCAGACGACTCCGAGAAAGAGACAGCTTTTGAACCACCACGTAGAAAAGACAATCTTCTGCATCCTTCCTCGATGTCCCTCGATCCAACCTTGACTCTCACACGACTAGGATCACAACGAAAGTAAAAGTCGCGTCCCCCACTTCTCCATTTCTTCCATGTTTTTTATTCTCTCTCTCCTCTCACTCTTGATTTTATTTGAACTTTCATCAAACGCTCTCACCAATTTTTTCATGGCCCGTCCAATGCTTCCGGGCAATTTCCGGACAGTGGGTCTCTTTATTGTGACACGGACACCGTTGTTTTGCGACCAGCCCTGGAGGTGAAACCTGAATTTCTTTTTCATACATTTGACAAGCAATTGACAATCGAGTCTAATGGATTCTAAATGTAAATTATATTGCTAAAATTACTATTTACTATTATCTATTTAAAACTATTGCACTGAAAATGGGAATACGATATTTATCAAATCATTGTGAGAGAAGGAGAAAGAGACAGTGAGGGAGAGAAAAGGAGGACAGTGAATAACAGCTAAATGAAAGAGTGAGAAAAAAAAGACTAGGTAGTGAGATAGTCGAGAATTTGAGGGAGTGAGAGAGAGAAAAGAGAGAGCACGGAGAGTGAATAACAAAGAAAAGAAAGACCATTAGATTGAGAAAAAAGATAAAAAGATAGAAAGGTAAATAGATAGATAGGTAGTGAGAGAGGGGATAATGTGAGTGAATAAGGGAGTGAGAGAGAGAGAGAGAGAAATTGAGAGAGAAAGACAAAAAAGGAAAAGCATTAGAGTGAGAAACCTATTAAAAAAGTACTGGAGCGAATAAGAAATAAACGAACTTGGAAATGAAACACAGGCATAATATAACGAAAGAAAAAACAGAACAAAATCGTTGCAAGAAAGTAAAAAGTATACAGGGCAAGTGAGCGAGTCAAAAAAATGTACGAAGTAGAAGGAAGAGAGAGGGAAAGAGAAAAGAGAAAAGGAGAGAGATTGAATGAATATCGTTTTATATAAAAAATCTCGCAAAAAAGGAGAAAGAGAGAATGAGAGTGAGAGAGGGAGGGAGGAGTGTGAATAACAACGAAAAGAAAAAGCGTTACAGTGAGAAAAAAAAAGAAAAAGATAGATTAGTGAATAGATTGATAATTAGTGAGAGGGGGATAATGTGAGTGATTTAGTGAGAGTGAGTGGGGGAGGGAGAGAGTGAATAACAACGAAAAGAAAGAGCAGTATAGTGAGAGGAAAAAGAGAAAAAGGCAGACAAGTAAATAGATATATAAATAGTGAGAGAGAGATGGGTTAATGTGAGTGAGTATGAGAGAGAGAAATACAGCGAAGAAAAGCATTATAGTGAGAAAGCTATACAAAAAACCTATTGGAGTGAACAAGCAATAAAGGACCGTGCAAATGAAATATAGGCGCAATATGACGAAACAAATACAGAAAAAAACGTTGCAAGAAAACGAAATGTGTAGTGGACAAGTGAGAGACAAAAAATATACGAAGTAGAAGGGGGAGAGGTAAATAGAAAAACGAGAGAGATACATTGAATGAATATGGTTTTATATAAATAAAAACAACTCGCAAATTAACAAAAAGGAGGGAGAGAGAGTGTGTGCGAGAGAGAGTGGGAGAAAGAAAGAGAGAGAGAGAGAGAGAGAGAGAGAGAGTGCGCGAAAGGCGAAACAACAACGAAAAGAAAGATAATTACAGTGAGAAAAAAAGAAAAACAGATAGATAAGTAAATAGATAGATAGAGATAAAGAGAGAGAGAGAGACACACACACAGACAGACAGACAGAGAGGGAGAGAAAGAGTGAGTGAGAGAGAGAGAAATAAGGAGAGCGGAGGGCGAATAACAATGAAAAGAAAGTTAATTACAGTGAGAAAGAAAAGAGAAAAAGAGAGATAAGTAAATAGATAGATAGACAGATAGATAGATAGAGAGAGAGAAAAAAAAGTGAGAAAGAGACAGAAACAGATATACAGGGAGAGAGAGAGAGAAACAGACAGACAGACGGACAGAGAGGGAGAGGGAGATAGAGAGAGAGATAGAGGGAGAGTGAGAGAGCTACCGTATGACAAAATCCATGATGCCCATGACTCAAAGAAATTTGGGGATGGTTAGGGATGGTTATCTTGAAATTTTCATTAACATTTCATATCAATACTTGTTTAAAAAGAAATTTCGTGAAAGATTTTCGAAGCTTGATTTCGCCTGTTCTCTCTCTACTTTTATAATCAAGCTTTGGACAATTTACTGTTTGAGAATTATCTTTTCACTTGCGATTAATTAAAATATCCATAGCCCCCAGTCCACATCGATCGTACTCTCGATGACCCAACAGAGGAACCAGTATATTCACACTTTGGACGTAATTGTAAATAATATTTTACGTGTTCATTTCAGGTGATACTGTGTTCTGTCTCTACCCCAAGCGAGAAAATGCGTCTTTCATTGTCTAATTTCCACCCTAACTCTTTTTTAAATAAGCCTAGAAGAAATTTCTCTCCAAAGATTTTCGACGGGTAAGAAGGGGCCCGACCCAGGAATAATTTCCGCCCCTTATTTCCACTTTTATCATTCGATTCACTTTCAACACGGTGGAAAAACCAAGAAAGGAGAATTTCAAATCGAATCCTTATGTTTGGTTAATAGAACGAAATTTTCATTTTCGATTCGTCATTTCGCCTTAATGAGCGAGATTGTTCATCTTCTTCAAACAACATAATTAATTATTTAAAGATGAAGAAAACAATAGAAAAACAATTAAAAGTTGGATTTAAATGTCCTACTTAATTTGACCACGACATCGATAAGCATAGCAGTCAAATCCCAATGAATTAAGAAAAGGTTGCTAGACGCTTTCTATTGAAATTTACGTACCAATTCTGTTATTAACACATATGTTTTAAGGAAATAAAATAATTTTAAAATCTATATAAATAGCCGTACAGGTTATTTTTCTAAAAACGAGTGTTTTTAATATGCACCCTCATCCGTTTGTAGGTCAAGGCTAGTGGGTACAAGGTGTACTCTTCCGTTTTTGCTTCCTCATTATCCAATAACCGAACCGGCATTATTCTTCTTCACCTTTGCCAATAATTTGTTGGATATTTCCTGCTCAGTGAATGTTAATGCTGAAAGTCCACATCTTATCTGTCTGTCTGTTTTCCAGTATGGAGAGGTTTTTTATTTGTCCTTTGTTTATTTAAATGATTAAATTAGCTTTCACAAGTCGAAATGCACTTATTCGAAAAGAAATACGTCAGGTTAAAACAGATAAACCCATAACGCTGAATTTCCTTTACTCATCGACAATAAAATGTAAATATAACCTTTTTTTTTTACAGGAAAGGCATTATTCAACAAGATAAAAATACCTTTCAGCCCTAGGCAATTTCAGAAAGCTAGAATGTTGAAGGTTAGTCCCATGATGGTCGTTATTATTATCGTGACAATCTCTTGAAATCTTTCTAAATACAGTTTTAAAGTAACTATGTTTATCACAACAGCCAAAACTGCTAAAATGTTCATCGTTTCATGTATATATTATTAAGTAAAAATTTGAAATAATTTTTTCAACCGTGTCCGGTTTCATTTGTTCACAACCTTGGCAAGACCCAGGAAATAACAGGTTCAAGGTAATTATACAGGAAGGTAATCAACTTTTTGATTGATACGTAGTTTACCTTATGCCATATTTATAACGTACTTTGTAGAAAACTATCAACGCTTCTAATTGAAATCTTGGTAAATTTGATTCCGAAGGGAGCTAATTTCCCAAGTAGTAAATAACAAAGCCCTTTCTTACACTTAATTCTTCCTCTGGAGGATATTAGTTGATCATGATATTTAATTCAGTTAGATACATCTTTAGGGAATCTTTTCTAATTGGGTTTTATTTTCCTATTGTCTTGAGGTTGAACCGACTGATCATTTGTTTATGCATGTGTTAGGTAATATGCACGAGCTTGGATTTATGAACGTCGGGATTAATTCGGCCCTTTATTAAAATTCGGTTGGACGGATGAAAGCTCGATCTGCCCCTACCGAACCGTGAGAATATAAGCCTCCACGCTACCATCCCATTATTGCAAAACGCTTAATTACCACATCACCGGCATCTTATATAACCTGTGTTTCAGCCTGGCTCAAAACCGGGTGATCCGCAAACCCAGTTCAATCTTGCTGCGGTTCCGTCAACATATTGAGCAAACGTCCCCATTTCGAAGTTGTACGGGTTTTTGAACACCGCGTGTTTCTTTATCAACCGCATTTCCGTGCGTGTACATTTTTTACATAAAGATCCATTGATGTTTTTAACTTGAGAAATATTCCCGGCTGAAAGCGTTCCTGGGTTAATAAAACATAAAACTCTGCGAGACTGTAATAATAAAATCGATAAAGGCAAGCTGACCTCTTCCTAATGGCTCTTTTCCCTCAACAATCCAAAACTACACTTACAACCGACTGGTACAATATACAGATATTTGGGATACATGTATAAATTGTTGAACTTCATGATCATCCAAACGCAATATCATACAATGTTTCAACAGAATTTTCAACACTATTGTTTTTTTATTATCTGTTAATTTTGCTTTTAATTAACTGTAAATTTAATTCATAGTTTTGATAATGTTGATTCTCGCAGTTTTACCTTTAGTTATTAGCTATTCCAAACTTTCCTAGTCAAATTGAACATTCTCTAACTAGTTATTTTACACTCATTTACCACGAATTAATTTTTACGAGGGTTGTAGCAGAGGTCATATTATCCTTCAGGGTGCCGGGTTTTTGAAAAAAAGCCCATTTGTAAGTATGTCGGATTCGAATGCAGGGCCACTGGATTCGAACCCGGGACCTTTACCTTACAGTGATGACCGCCGTGTCAACGCCTAAACCGTTGCGGCCACTGACGCCCTAATGTAATGTTTAAAGAATGATGTTTTAGTCAATCAAAATGCTACTGGAATATGTCTTATGGTTAGATATGTCAAAATAATTTGCGCATCTCTTAGCCTAATAAATTCAAATTGACCTATTTCAAAAGCAAAAATGATTCATTTAAAAAAAAAATTATTTAAGACTTGTAAACTCAAAATGCATAATTAACTTTTTAA